AATGCTCACAATACTTACAATATTGACAATGCTTTTGCTTACAACACTTACAATACTTACGATGAGACCAGCAAGCACTCAGCCGTTACAGTTCTAACTTCTGTTTCGAAAAACGACGTTCCACACATTCGCTGCCAGCATAACATGTATTGTTTGACAGTAACAAAATACAATTGACATCTGAACCCCAAACGGAACGCCATCCACTCAAATTTTATAACCCTGACCGGTCAGGGGGCGAATGGAGGTCATTTCCTGGGCATTACACTCAGCCCTTGCACAAAATATCTCACCTCACAGTGATCATTACAACAATAGCACCGACTTGATAGTGGATTTCAAAGTACTTGCATCAGCTCTTCCTGCTATTGCAGACGATCATCTCCTCAGGGTAATGTTGTTCGGGACATGAACGAAGATCGTTTTCGGAGTTTCATAAGTGCTACTGCAACAGCCTGGCACAAAACAGGACTTGTACGCTCTTCTCTGCACTTTGCCCTTCAGTATATCACAAAAGAATTGTTTAGAATCCATCTTACGCTTCTTTCACAGTCTCCCTTGCCACCGTAGGGCGTAGATAGATTGCTGTTGCTGGTAAGTTAAGGCACGGTAGATAGAGATTACCTCGGTTCTCAACGCCTTAAGTTATTTTCATAAAAAAGAACAAATAAATGATCAATAAGATGACAGGAATGTAAACATTTTAATCGTAAAGTAGTCCAAATATTGGAATGAGCTTTTGCTTTTCAGCATCCCCCGATTCATCATTTTTATCATTTGAAAATTCGAGGTACATAAAATGTTTATCACGCGCTCAATGTTAAGTGGGAATATATAGTTCGTTTTTCTTAAGTTTGCCCCTCACTGTAAACGTCTTTTTGAACACAGCACGAGAATTGCTAGCTGAATTACTGAGAAAACTGGTTGGCGCACATTGATTTCACCAGATTTCACAGACGATCAATTTTATCAAATTTGTTTACTATTTCACAGACTCATAGCTCGTATTTACCCATGCCTACAGCTCCAAAGTGATAGACGACTTCTCAGGAATTAAGTCTGAACTAATTAATAAATTGCACGGCGCTTAACATTAACGTTACATCGTCGGTGTTCAAAACTTATTTTGAAAATATTATTCATATCTCCAATACAATGTGCGCCAACCAGTTTTCTCAGTAATTCAGCTAGCAATTCTCGTGCTGTGTTCAAAAAGACGTTTACAGTGAGGGGCAAACTTAAGAAAAACGAACTATAGTACACGGCAGACACATCAATTTTTGACACTGAACATTTCATCATAATAAGAGATATTAACCTTACTCTCATATTAGCCAAAAGATATAAAATTTCAAAAAGACAAAATACAGTTTCGGGAGCTTTCGGCTTTGCGCCTTTATCAACCGTTATGTATTATTTAGATCACTTTCGTCACAAACTTGCATGGAACAGAAAATTCGAATTGGTACGAACATGCAGAAATCACACACGCACTTCCCAGCTACTCTTTAAAAACGCATCTATGCAAAACTTACAGAGACATAAAAGATTTATCTTGAAGTGCAGAACAAGATAGTCATGTCGAAAACATGAGTCATACGTTCAGCGGAGATAGTATATATCGTGGGTACATCATCAATAATGGGTCCCGACCCCCCGACCAACATTAAAAATATGGAGATAAGCATATATGAGGTAAGTACATGCATGCATACGGTAACAGAAGTGTACAACAGCACAACCGCACGGCGCACACCCGCGCACACAAGTTTCCACGGTCAGTCAGTTTAGATATAATGACCACTCAGATGATAGGCCAAGACGAGGTTTGCGTGTTAAGAGTGGGTTGAAGTTCGCGAATAAAAATGGATTCCCAAATTTTTCTATCTGGGCCGTCTTTTGACACATGCAGAATCTTGATTGAGACGTTTGAGCAGTCCAGTTGCACAGAGTGTTTCGTTTGGTGAAGGCCAAAAGGGGTGTCTAGTTTGTTGTTTTTTGCATCTCTCATGTGTTCATTATATCTAAGCCTGACAGATCGGCGTGTTTCACCGACATACACAGACTCGCCTTGTGCGCACAGTTGACATTCCATCTGGTACACCACATTCTTTTCATGACATCTCCCACGCAACCCTGCCTCACAGCATGGACTCTTCCTGCCCCCACCTGGGCAGGGTGCTGGTTGGTAGGCCGCCCGCACTAGTTTTTGTTTCAGGTTGGGACCTCCTTTCCATGCAACTTTCAGGTTGAGGTGACTAGCCCTAATGATACCCTCAATCCTGTGGCTGAGTGCATCATCAATGAATGGAAGCGCAAGATAGACGGGGGCAGAGCCCGATCTATTCGGCCTTAGGCGGTTATCACGTTGGGCTTCGTGTTGGAGCCTGCTAACTAAGTGGGGCGGGTAGCCGTTCTTTGTGAATAGGTCATGGATGAGTTTAAGGCTACGGGCTCGTGGTAGACCAGGGGAAGAGATTTTGATAGCACGTAACGTTTGTGAGCGGACGGCGTTTTTCTTAGTCGACATTGGCAGAGCTGAAAGGTAGTGAATTATCACTGGTGATGCCATCGGTTTAATGTATAGCTCACTGGAGTATGCGCCTGACTCAGAGATCGATATTTTTGTGTCCAAGAACGCCAATACTCCAGTGTCACCGGTGTGTTCTATGGTGAACTTGATGGTGGGATGGACCGTGTTTAGGAAATTGAAGTAGTCGAAGAGGGCGTCCCTACCATGCGTCCAGACTCCGAACACGTCGTCGATATACCGTACGTACAGTGAGGGCTGTAGACGACTAGCTGACAGAAACATGGACTCTAAGGCGTTCATAAAGACTATCGCTAGCGGGGGGGCCACCCTGCTGCCCATCGCTATGCCTTGCGTCTGTCTGAAGTAGTTCTGACCAAAGCGAACGAAATTGTTGGTCAAACAGTGCTCGAGTAGCTTACGCATGCTGGACAGCTCCAGACCAAATGTTTCCACTCGGTCTACGTGGTGTTGTAGGAGTGTCAGCGTGGCATCAATGGCCTCATTTATAGGGATGTTACCGTATAGGTTAACGACATCGACACTGAACAGTATTGTGCCCCGTTCAAACCCGTGCGGATACTTAGCTGAGATTGTCTCCAGGAATTGTGGCGTGTCTTTCAAATGCGCTGGCACATGCGGCAGGAGTTGTGTCACCACTCTTTCTAACAGCCACGTTAACTTATCAACAGGGTCACCGTAGGCCGACACGATAGGTCGAAGTGGGATGTCGTTCTTATGATCCTTGGGGAGTCCATAAAGTTCCGCTGTTCTGGAACATTGCGGGATAATCGCCTTGACCAAGCGCTCATCTACTTTCCCGTCCATAGTTTCATGGATGATGCGCTTTGTAGTGGCCTCTAGCCTAGGTGTGGGGTTTCGTGGCACTACCTCGTAGCTGGAGGTGGTAGACTCAATCTTACTAGTGTAATCAGATGCATCCATTAACACTAGTCCCTTACACTTGTCCGAGGGTTTGACTACCACGTCTTTGTTTTTGGCTAGCTGACGTATAGAATCTAGCTGGGCACGTGTGTAGTTTAGCATCGGTTTTCTGTGACCTTTGTAAGCAGCCGTGACCTTTTGTTTTACCTGCTGTAGAAGGGTTTCCATTTGTTTACACCCGAGAGGTGCCTGGCTGCAGTCACCATCAGGAAAACGGGGCTGGAGCTTGCTGGAGTAAGAGGACTGACCACCAGGATCCTGTTGACGTTCTTGGCTGTTTGACACGTCTGCTGGTGGCTGCTGCTGCTGACGATGGTGCCGCACTTGTTCTTCCTCCTCTTGTTGATGAGGTTGGCGCAGCTGTAACACTTGCTGCTGCTGCTGCTGCTGCTGCTGCTGCTGCTGCTGTTGTAGCTGGTGCTGCTGTTGCGCTTGTTGATGTTGTTGCTGGCGATCAGTGGGCACTCCATTGGCGTGGTGTTGTTGATATCGCCTACTTTCAATGTTAGCTTTCCATCGTAGAGCGTAAACGCCGCGTTCTACACCCGATTCTACTTCCTTAAGGACGGAAGATGTGACTGTCCGGGTGAGAGCAAACTTGGGGCCACGGTCCAGGAGTTCGGAGAGATTGGCATCCACTGGAAGGCTTGAAAGGTTCTTCATAGTTTTGTTTGTGGTGCTGACGTTATCAGAAGGAGCGGAAGCGGACGGTTCCGTGGGAGGTCCCGTGGAGCTTCTTGTTTCGACGTGTGAGCTGCTTCCGTTGACACCACGATGCTGGGAGTTGGGTTCTGTTTGCATCCTGAAGGCTTCTTGTGTTCCAGGAGTGGCTATCGCCCTATCACTTGCTTGGCTGGCCAGAAGGCGATTGAATTTGTTGATCAGTCTTGTTCTATTCTCTTCGCGCTGCTTTTCGAAGATCAACCCGCACTGCCTTTGGAGCCAAGGCCAGAGGTTGGGTCGTAGAAGGTTGCAGTGTTCTTCTTGGCGTCGTTTTTTCTCGTAGCAGGTAAGCCTGCTTACGGAAGGCTTCTTGGATCGCCTCATTCAACATTTCTTTAGAGAAACGCCATCTTGTGTGTCCATGCTGTGAGGCAGGGTTGCGTGGGAGATGTCATGAAAAGAATGTGGTGTACCAGATGGAATGTCAACTGTGCGCACAAGGCGAGTCTGTGTATGTCGGTGAAACACGCCGATCTGTCAGGCTTAGATATAATGAACACATGAGAGATGCAAAAAACAACAAACTAGACACCCCTTTTGGCCTTCACCAAACGAAACACTCTGTGCAACTGGACTGCTCAAACGTCTCAATCAAGATTCTGCATGTGTCAAAAGACGGCCCAGATAGAAAAATTTGGGAATCCATTTTTATTCGCGAACTTCAACCCACTCTTAACACGCAAACCTCGTCTTGGCCTATCATCTGAGTGGTCATTATATCTAAACTGACTGACCGTGGAAACTTGTGTGCGCGGGTGTGCGCCGTGCGGTTGTGCTGTTGTACACTTCTGTTACCGTATGCATGCATGTACTTACCTCATATATGCTTATCTCCATATTTTTAATGTTGGTCGGGGGGTCGGGACCCATTATTGATGATGTACCCACGATATATACTATCTCCGCTGAACGTATGACTCATGTTTTCGACATGACTATCTTGTTCTGCACTTCAAGATAAATCTTTTATGTCTCTGTAAGTTTTGCATAGATGCGTTTTTAAAGAGTAGCTGGGAAGTGCGTGTGTGATTTCTGCATGTTCGTACCAATTCGAATTTTCTGTTCCATGCAAGTTTGTGACGAAAGTGATCTAAATAATACATAACGGTTGATAAAGGCGCAAAGCCGAAAGCTCCCGAAACTGTATTTTGTCTTTTTGAAATTTTATATCTTTTGGCTAATATGAGAGTAAGGTTAATATCTCTTATTATACTCATAATGTCTCTCAAAACTGTGCTAAAAACCATTCAAGATAATGAACACAATGTTAACCATAGAGAAGCACTGATAAAAAGTCTCCTTCTGGCTCCAAAACTTGCAAACAACATCGAACGAATATCGTTTTTAGTACAATGCAGAAAGTCACACATAACTCCCAAGTTCATACAGAACGTCCTTACGAAGACCTCCTCCATTTCAAGATTAAGCATGTCTTTTGAAGCTAAGAAAAGACGTTTCTCTAAAGAAATGTTGAATGAGGCGATCCAAGAAGCCTTCCGTAAGCAGGCTTACCTGCTACGAGAAAAACGACGCCAAGAAGAACACTGCAACCTTCTACGACCCAACCTCTGGCCTTGGCTCCAAAGGCAGTGCGGGTTGATCTTCGAAAAGCAGCGCGAAGAGAATAGAACAAGACTGATCAACAAATTCAATCGCCTTCTGGCCAGCCAAGCAAGTGATAGGGCGATAGCCACTCCTGGAACACAAGAAGCCTTCAGGATGCAAACAGAACCCAACTCCCAGCATCGTGGTGTCAACGGAAGCAGCTCACACGTCGAAACAAGAAGCTCCACGGGACCTCCCACGGAACCGTCCGCTTCCGCTCCTTCTGATAACGTCAGCACCACAAACAAAACTATGAAGAACCTTTCAAGCCTTCCAGTGGATGCCAATCTCTCCGAACTCCTGGACCGTGGCCCCAAGTTTGCTCTCACCCGGACAGTCACATCTTCCGTCCTTAAGGAAGTAGAATCGGGTGTAGAACGCGGCGTTTACGCTCTACGATGGAAAGCTAACATTGAAAGTAGGCGATATCAACAACACCACGCCAATGGAGTGCCCACTGATCGCCAGCAACAACATCAACAAGCGCAACAGCAGCACCAGCTACAACAGCAGCAGCAGCAGCAGCAGCAGCAGCAGCAGCAGCAAGTGTTACAGCTGCGCCAACCTCATCAACAAGAGGAGGAAGAACAAGTGCGGCACCATCGTCAGCAGCAGCAGCCACCAGCAGACGTGTCAAACAGCCAAGAACGTCAACAGGATCCTGGTGGTCAGTCCTCTTACTCCAGCAAGCTCCAGCCCCGTTTTCCTGATGGTGACTGCAGCCAGGCACCTCTCGGGTGTAAACAAATGGAAACCCTTCTACAGCAGGTAAAACAAAAGGTCACGGCTGCTTACAAAGGTCACAGAAAACCGATGCTAAACTACACACGTGCCCAGCTAGATTCTATACGTCAGCTAGCCAAAAACAAAGACGTGGTAGTCAAACCCTCGGACAAGTGTAAGGGACTAGTGTTAATGGATGCATCTGATTACACTAGTAAGATTGAGTCTACCACCTCCAGCTACGAGGTAGTGCCACGAAACCCCACACCTAGGCTAGAGGCCACTACAAAGCGCATCATCCATGAAACTATGGACGGGAAAGTAGATGAGCGCTTGGTCAAGGCGATTATCCCGCAATGTTCCAGAACAGCGGAACTTTATGGACTCCCCAAGGATCATAAGAACGACATCCCACTTCGACCTATCGTGTCGGCCTACGGTGACCCTGTTGATAAGTTAACGTGGCTGTTAGAAAGAGTGGTGACACAACTCCTGCCGCATGTGCCAGCGCATTTGAAAGACACGCCACAATTCCTGGAGACAATCTCAGCTAAGTATCCGCACGGGTTTGAACGGGGCACAATACTGTTCAGTGTCGATGTCGTTAACCTATACGGTAACATCCCTATAAATGAGGCCATTGATGCCACGCTGACACTCCTACAACACCACGTAGACCGAGTGGAAACATTTGGTCTGGAGCTGTCCAGCATGCGTAAGCTACTCGAGCACTGTTTGACCAACAATTTCGTTCGCTTTGGTCAGAACTACTTCAGACAGACGCAAGGCATAGCGATGGGCAGCAGGGTGGCCCCCCCCCGCTAGCGATAGTCTTTATGAACGCCTTAGAGTCCATGTTTCTGTCAGCTAGTCGTCTACAGCCCTCACTGTACGTACGGTATATCGACGACGTGTTCGGAGTCTGGACGCATGGTAGGGACGCCCTCTTCGACTACTTCAATTTCCTAAACACGGTCCATCCCACCATCAAGTTCACCATAGAACACACCGGTGACACTGGAGTATTGGCGTTCTTGGACACAAAAATATCGATCTCTGAGTCAGGCGCATACTCCAGTGAGCTATACATTAAACCGATGGCATCACCAGTGATAATTCACTACCTTTCAGCTCTGCCAATGTCGACTAAGAAAAACGCCGTCCGCTCACAAACGTTACGTGCTATCAAAATCTCTTCCCCTGGTCTACCACGAGCCCGTAGCCTTAAACTCATCCATGACCTATTCACAAAGAACGGCTACCCGCCCCACTTAGTTAGCAGGCTCCAACACGAAGCCCAACGTGATAACCGCCTAAGGCCGACTAGATCGGGCTCTGCCCCCGTCTATCTTGCGCTTCCATTCATTGATGATGCACTCAGCCACAGGATTGAGGGTATCATTAGGGCTAGCCACCTCAACCTGAAAGTTGCATGGAAAGGAGGTCCCAACCTGAAACAAAAACTAGTGCGGGCGGCCTACCAACCAGCACCCTGCCCAGGTGGGGGCAGGAAGTGTCCATGCTGTGAGGCAGGGTTGCGTGGGAGATGTCATGAAAAGAATGTGGTGTACCAGATGGAATGTCAACTGTGCGCACAAGGCGAGTCTGTGTATGTCGGTGAAACACGCCGATCTGTCAGCCGTCAGGCTTAGATATAATGAACACATGAGAGATGCAAAAAACAACAAACTAGACACCCCTTTTGGCCTTCACCAAACGAAACACTCTGTGCAACTGGACTGCTCAAACGTCTCAATCAAGATTCTGCATGTGTCAAAAGACGGCCCAGATAGAAAAATTTGGGAATCCATTTTTATTCGCGAACTTCAACCCACTCTTAACACGCAAACCTCGTCTTGGCCTATCATCTGAGTGGTCATTATATCTAAACTGACTGACCGTGGAAACTTGTGTGCGCGGGTGTGCGCCGTGCGGTTGTGCTGTTGTACACTTCTGTTACCGTATATGCATGCATGTACTTACCTCATATATGCTTATCTCCATATTTTTAATGTTGGTCGGGGGGTCGGGACCCATTATTGATGATGTACCCACGATATATACTATCTCCGCTGAACGTATGACTCATGTTTTCGACATGGTTCTGCACTTCAAGATAAATCTTTTATGTCTCTGTAAGTTTTGCATAGATGCGTTTTTAAAGAGTAGCTGGGAAGTGCGTGTGTGATTTCTGCATGTTCGTACCAATTCGAATTTTCTGTTCCATGCAAGTTTGTGACGAAAGTGATCTAAATAATACATAACGGTTGATAAAGGCGCAAAGCCGAAAGCTCCCGAAACTGTATTTTGTCTTTTTGAAATTTTATATCTTTTGGCTAATATGAGAGTAAGGTTAATATCTCTTATTATACTCATAATGTCTCTCAAAACTGTGCTAAAAACCATTCAAGATAATGAACACAATGTTAACCATAGAGAAGCACTGATAAAAAGTCTCCTTCTGGCTCCAAAACTTGCAAACAACATCGAACGAATATCGTTTTTAGTACAATGCAGAAAGTCACACATAACTCCCAAGTTCATACAGAACGTCCTTACGAAGACCTCCTCCATTTCAAGATTAAGCATGTCTTTTGAAGCTAAGAAAAGACGTTTCTCTAAAGAAATGTTGAATGAGGCGATCCAAGAAGCCTTCCGTAAGCAGGCTTACCTGCTACGAGAAAAACGACGCCAAGAAGAACACTGCAACCTTCTACGACCCAACCTCTGGCCTTGGCTCCAAAGGCAGTGCGGGTTGATCTTCGAAAAGCAGCGCGAAGAGAATAGAACAAGACTGATCAACAAATTCAATCGCCTTCTGGCCAGCCAAGCAAGCTGAAAACAAGTTGAAAGAACGTTATGCAAAAGCATCTTAAAATATTCCACACTTAGGTTTTTTGGGTATTAGGGTAAACTGGCTTAGAGGCGAAGCAGAACGTCTGGTTCATGAAGAACACACACAGTGTTTCACATAGACCGAAGACACGTGCTGCTTCTTCGCGTGCAGTCTTAGTGGCCCCAGGGGGCTTCAACTCGACCAACACCGGTTCTTCAGTCGTTCTCCCTAGTCACGTGATATTACGTCACACCAAGCGCGCGAAAGATAAACCCTTTGAAGGTTTTGCACGAACTAGCATCGGGTTTAAGAAGAAGGGGTTGTGGTTTAATCAGTGTAATGGCTTTCATCAAGACCACGCCCGCGGTACCACGTTCTAGCGTCCACCGGAAGCGATCGCCATTTTTCGATCGCGTTGGATCACGCTTTGTGCAGTGACGAGCGGCTGGTGCAAGATTGGGTGAATGGCAAGTAATCGAATATTGAAGAACTGAAGTAAGGTTAATTTTTGGCTTGTCAAGTGTTGTGTATTATTTATATTACTTGTGATTGACAATAATAAGCAATATCACAACGCTCTTCAAATGCATGGATGAATGCATTGGATGAAGACAATTCATGTGCAAGACCATTCAATGCAGTAAGTATTTATATGTTGTATAAATGCCCCATAGCTTAAATTATGCATGTGGTATTTAGACAAATCTTCCAAATGAAGATAAATCAGGAATAGAATCAGCTTGCCATTTTGGGGTCAATTGATTTAGGTATAAATTTGGCTGATTTTAATAAACATATGTTCTTGCTGATTAGTGCAATATTTTATCTAGCTGCACTTTATATATCAAGTGCATTATTTTATTTTCGGAGTAGGCTCATGGTCTCTGAAGTCAATCTAAGTTTTTTTACTTCCTGCCTGTTGAATAACGCATCCGCCCGACTCTTCATTCCAGGGGACGAGGCCATCTCCACTCTGATTGAGGCCCTGGAGTCTGAGGAGAGCGTCCTGGCGCGCGGAGACGTCGACATCGTCGAAAACGCTGGCTTGAAGCTGGTGGTGGAAGGAGAAACTGTATGTGATTTGGGAGAATGCGATATCGCCAACCGGCTGCTGACATGGGCGACAGCGCTATACATACTGTGTTTGGGAAAACATCCACTTGCTAAAGCTAAAAATGTGTTCACTTATTTGGCTCTGGAGTTCTTTGGCTTGGATGTGTAAGGCAAGTGACACGGCCGAATGGAAAGCGTTCCTGCAGGCTGATTGCGGGCTGATCGCAGGCTGAATGCGGGCTGGTTGCGGGCTGATCGCATGGATCGCTGGTTGCGGGCTGGTTGTTCCTGACTGGAGACTTGCAGGCTAGGATTGCTCAGAGTAAAGAGGAAGGTAATACATTTTAAGGTGTATCAAGTACTGTGTTTGCGCAGCAGATGTGATGGCGCAGATCGATAGCCATGCATGGGAGGTTCAATAGACGAATGAACGGGGATTTTGCGGTATTGCAATAGAACTGAAAGGGTTCTACAACCGATATTCAGAACACAGGGTGGTTTCCCTATAAACCTCAGGGACTTCTTCACAGACCCTTTGGGGTTCTTATCTAGGTGCTAAGAACGCTCTTATTATAAACCCTAAACCTCACCAAGAGTCTTTGGAAGAATCGTGTGGATTCTTTTCATGAGAATGCAAAGCCGTCTACGTGAAGAGCCATGGGGGTTCTGAAAAACGGTGGCATAACATTTTACCCCACAGGGGTCTAAATACCCCTGTACGTTCTTAACGTTCTTCCAAAGTGTTTTCAGTGTAGGGCGATAGCCACTCCTGGAACACAAGAAGCCTTCAGGATGCAAACAGAACCCAACTCCCAGCATCGTGGTGTCAACGGAAGCAGCTCACACGTCGAAACAAGAAGCTCCACGGGACCTCCCACGGAACCGTCCGCTTCCGCTCCTTCTGATAACGTCAGCACCACAAACAAAACTATGAAGAACCTTTCAAGCCTTCCAGTGGATGCCAATCTCTCCGAACTCCTGGACCGTGGCCCCAAGTTTGCTCTCACCCGGACAGTCACATCTTCCGTCCTTAAGGAAGTAGAATCGGGTGTAGAACGCGGCGTTTACGCTCTACGATGGAAAGCTAACATTGAAAGTAGGCGATATCAACAACACCACGCCAATGGAGTGCCCACTGATCGCCAGCAACAACATCAACAAGCGCAACAGCAGCACCAGCTACAACAGCAGCAGCAGCAGCAGCAGCAGCAGCAGCAGCAGCAGCAAGTGTTACAGCTGCGCCAACCTCATCAACAAGAGGAGGAAGAACAAGTGCGGCACCATCGTCAGCAGCAGCAGCCACCAGCAGACGTGTCAAACAGCCAAGAACGTCAACAGGATCCTGGTGGTCAGTCCTCTTACTCCAGCAAGCTCCAGCCCCGTTTTCCTGATGGTGACTGCAGCCAGGCACCTCTCGGGTGTAAACAAATGGAAACCCTTCTACAGCAGGTAAAACAAAAGGTCACGGCTGCTTACAAAGGTCACAGAAAACCGATGCTAAACTACACACGTGCCCAGCTAGATTCTATACGTCAGCTAGCCAAAAACAAAGACGTGGTAGTCAAACCCTCGGACAAGTGTAAGGGACTAGTGTTAATGGATGCATCTGATTACACTAGTAAGATTGAGTCTACCACCTCCAGCTACGAGGTAGTGCCACGAAACCCCACACCTAGGCTAGAGGCCACTACAAAGCGCATCATCCATGAAACTATGGACGGGAAAGTAGATGAGCGCAATTGGTCAAGGCGATTATCCCGCAATGTTCCAGAACAGCGGAACTTTATGGACTCCCCAAGGATCATAAGAACGACATCCCACTTCGACCTATCGTGTCGGCCTACGGTGACCCTGTTGATAAGTTAACGTGGCTGTTAGAAAGAGTGGTGACACAACTCCTGCCGCATGTGCCAGCGCATTTGAAAGACACGCCACAATTCCTGGAGACAATCTCAGCTAAGTATCCGCACGGGTTTGAACGGGGCACAATACTGTTCAGTGTCGATGTCGTTAACCTATACGGTAACATCCCTATAAATGAGGCCATTGATGCCACGCTGACACTCCTACAACACCACGTAGACCGAGTGGAAACATTTGGTCTGGAGCTGTCCAGCATGCGTAAGCTACTCGAGCACTGTTTGACCAACAATTTCGTTCGCTTTGGTCAGAACTACTTCAGACAGACGCAAGGCATAGCGATGGGCAGCAGGGTGGCCCCCCCGCTAGCGATAGTCTTTATGAACGCCTTAGAGTCCATGTTTCTGTCAGCTAGTCGTCTACAGCCCTCACTGTACGTACGGTATATCGACGACGTGTTCGGAGTCTGGACGCATGGTAGGGACGCCCTCTTCGACTACTTCAATTTCCTAAACACGGTCCATCCCACCATCAAGTTCACCATAGAACACACCGGTGACACTGGAGTATTGGCGTTCTTGGACACAAAAATATCGATCTCTGAGTCAGGCGCATACTCCAGTGAGCTATACATTAAACCGATGGCATCACCAGTGATAATTCACTACCTTTCAGCTCTGCCAATGTCGACTAAGAAAAACGCCGTCCGCTCACAAACGTTACGTGCTATCAAAATCTCTTCCCCTGGTCTACCACGAGCCCGTAGCCTTAAACTCATCCATGACCTATTCACAAAGAACGGCTACCCGCCCCACTTAGTTAGCAGGCTCCAACACGAAGCCCAACGTGATAACCGCCTAAGGCCGACTAGATCGGGCTCTGCCCCCGTCTATCTTGCGCTTCCATTCATTGATGATGCACTCAGCCACAGGATTGAGGGTATCATTAGGGCTAGTCACCTCAACCTGAAAGTTGCATGGAAAGGAGGTCCCAACCTGAAACAAAAACTAGTGCGGGCGGCCTACCAACCAGCACCCTGCCCAGGTGGGGGCAGGAAGTGTCCATGCTGTGAGGCAGGGTTGCGTGGGAGATGTCATGAAAAGAATGTGGTGTACCAGATGGAATGTCAACTGTGCGCACAAGGCGAGTCTGTGTATGTCGGTGAAACACGCCGATCTGTCAGGCTTAGATATAATGAACACATGAGAGATGCAAAAAACAACAAACTAGACACCCCTTTTGGCCTTCACCAAACGAAACACTCTGTGCAACTGGACTGCTCAAACGTCTCAATCAAGATTCTGCATGTGTCAAAAGACGGCCCAGATAGAAAAATTTGGGAATCCATTTTTATTCGCGAACTTCAACCCACTCTTAACCCGCGCCCCGTAGGGCTACCGGCGGACCCTACCACCCGTAGGGGGGGCCCCCCTAAGATCTCGGAAAGTTACCGGCCGATTTTCAAAATTCAAACGGCGTTTGATAGCCCTACCCGGGAACTACCTTATGACCAAATTTCATTGACCTAGGTCAAACCGATGACGTCACAGGTCAGGTCAAAGGTCAGGTTTTCACCGTTCACAGGCAATTCAAGAAATGTGCTGTGAAATCGAGTAAATTGGTAATTTATTGAAAACCATCGATGGTATATTGTTCGTCAAACACATACCTTGCTATCTGAGGTCACTGATACCAGGTCAGGTCACAGCGAGGTCAGGTCACCGGGGGTCACAATATGAATGTGTCGTGTGATACATGTTTTATGGTCCATTTTACATGACAAATGCGATTATGTAGGTTAGGCAGCCTTTGGGGCCAGCCTAGGTCACGTTTTGGTGAAGGTCAGGTCAAGGTCAGGTCAAATTAGGTCAAATTTCAAATCTGATATTTTTGCATAAAATGGGTATCCATTCGATGCAGCTCGTCACGGGGAGTCTAATGGTGGTCTTTGTTTTGCTCTACGAGTTCTAGAATTGCCAAAAATTGAGTTTGAAAATTTGACGTCATCATTTTTGAACAGTTTTTTCGCTATAACTTGGCCAAAAAACGAGGTATCGATCTGAAATTTGGTATGTAGATAGAAGACGGTAGGTACTATCACATATATTCTGGTTTTTTCGAAACTCAAAAAACTTTTTGGATTTTTTGGCTAATATATCCAAAAAAATGCTTTTTTGATTTTTGAGGATCAAAACTCAAAAATTTAAAAAATCCGAGATAGCAGTTTTGTAGCCCTGTCAATTCTACACCTTTTATGTCTTGATCATTTTTCTTTATCTTCAAAGCTGTAGGCCTGACAGGTCTTCTCGCGAAGGTCTTTTTTCGGTCGAAAATGACAGAACATGACGTCACTCTGACGTCATTTGTGGCCAACCTATCACAGCCTCTGGAAAAATTTTTGGTCACAATGTGTAAAATTGATGCCCGGAGGGGTCCTGAAAGTTTGGTGGCGATATCTCCAGCCGTTTAGGAGATATCGACCGAAAAGGACAGGGGGGGGACAGGGGGGGCCGTTTCGGCCCCCCCCCCCCTACGGGGCGCGGGTTAACACGCAAACCTCGTCTTGGCCTATCATCTGAGTGGTCATTATATCTAAACTGACTGACCGTGGAAACTTGTGTGCGCGGGTGTGCGCCGTGCGGTTGTGCTGTTGTACACTTCTGTTACCGTATGCATGCATGTACTTACCTCATATATGCTTATCTCCATATTTTTAATGTTGGTCGGGGGGTCGGGACCCATTATTGATGATGTACCCACGATATATACTATCTCCGCTGAACGTATGACTCATGTTTTCGACATGACTATCTTGTTCTGCACTTCAAGATAAATCTTTTATGTCTCTGTAAGTTTTGCATAGATGCGTTTTTAAAGAGTAGCTGGGAAGTGCGTGTGTGATTTCTGCATGTTCGTACCAATTCGAATTTTCTGTTCCATGCAAGTTTGTGACGAAAGTGATCTAAATAATACATAACGGTTGATAAAGGCGCAAAGCCGAAAGCTCCCGAAACTGTATTTTGTCTTTTTGAAATTTTATATCTTTTGGCTAATATGAGAGTAAGGTTAATATCTCTTATTATACTCATAATGTCTCTCAAAACTGTGATAAAAACCATTCAAGATAATGAACATTTCATCCGTAAATGTTTTAGCATAATTTAAAGTTAAAAACAGCGCGAATGGCAGAGTGAAGCAAACAACATCTTTCACCTATTGATATAACATGTAATCTGTGGTGCGCCAGATGCGCCATTATTTGTCAGCCGCAGAAGGTGACATGTGACGTAACAGCATCAAGAGCATCTTTTTTCAAGAACTTTTCAAAACAAGTTTCCTATCTTTCTTCCCCCATTTCTCTCAGCTTATTGATTTTATGAGGCAATGGTATGCACCATAAATTCTGTGAAAATAGTTTGATCATTTTCATGCATTCTTAAAAAATCGAGTTCCCAACCCCATTGGCAACCAAGCAGGAGCATGTTGAACGGAAAACACGACTGATTTCGCATCATCAAACGCCATGTTTCAATTAGGTCGTACCTGAGCTCTTATCCGCGAACCGCTTGCAAATTACTTTATTTGTTTTGACTCAAAGCCCACATCACAAGTAAGCGCACATTTGTAATGTGTATCCCTTCGTCAGCCTGATACCTATGATCGACCACGTCTCACTCTCTTCTGCAACTTCCCAGTGTTCCAGAACGAGCCAAAGCTACCTCCATCACCGGGTCAGGCCGCGCTCAAGGTCGCTGAGCCGCAGAGCTACGGCGCCAGCATCCTACGTCTCTTCAAAAACTACAGCTTCGTGCTGCTGGTCATCACGTACGGCATCAACGTGGGCATCTTTTACGGCATCTCCACGCTGCTCGGGCAAATCGTGCTCGCACAGTTCCCGGTAAGGCGGGCGGTTGGGATGAATGCTTTATGAATGAATGCCAGCGTTTCCCTGCACATAATTTGTTTATGTCGAAGCCAGAGAGCATTAATGGTCAGAGCTGAAAAAACTGCATTAGGGAGACGCGCAACTCAATGCGCACGTCCAAAAGATCACTGCCGGTGCCGCTAGGCTACTGTTACGAGTAAAGTAAAGTTACTTTCGATCATTTCTCGTGAGACATTATTTTTTCAATCATTTTTTTTTCACACATAAGAGCACATTTCTGAATTATGGTCTTTATCTAGCTTAGCAAAGCTGTTGCTAAAATATTCATACCATGACGTTGGTACATCGGCTCTAAATTAAAACATACATTCCCATTTACATCCCATCATTGCTGCACCAGCTGTTAAAGTCACATTCACGGAGCCCATACGGCCGTCAAACGTCATAGAATGTTATAAAACATCTGACCTGTGTCCTCTCTAATCCCGGTCTATAAACGGACGGACATCATCTGGGAGCTGTCATAATACAACAGTTGTAAATGACAGCCGAGTCGGGAGCGTTGAGTACATTGTGACGTTCTTCCGGTGGCTCTATACAAGTTGGAGCGTCTGTGGCGGGCACGGCCGCAGGTCTGAAAAAAAGATATTTATAGCGAAAGCTGATATGCGGGATATTGGAACGGTGCTTTATTATATTGTCACGCATTGTCAGATTTCCTAATGAAAGCAGGTACTCATGTTGTATATAACTTGCCTTTCAAACCAATTTTGTGCATACCCTTTGTGAGGTCTGCCCGTCATCCTTTCTCAAACGAATTTTGAGATTGGGCAGCTGCCAGGCTGAATATTTCCAGGGCCATCACGTTTCTAAATGATGACCTCGTCTAGTTAAATGGGATTCAAGCCGCCGGGCTCAGGATGGGGCAGCAGCGCGCTCCCGAAGACCGCCATCCATCGCAGCTCGTAAAGTGGCCTAATCACGGAATCTGAGGACGACTTTCCTCGACCACTGGCCAGGTTTATCAGTGGTGACTGCTGCCCCATTTATAGATGTTTGATTGGTCAGAGGTCATCCTTATTACAGTGTGGAAACGGGAAAATTATACAGAGCACCTCCCTGTCCGTTTGTTCCTTATACGATTGGCATACCTTCAACAGGCACCCATGTTACATGTATTACGACTTAAACGTAATTAATCAACCCAAGTTTTTCTTTTGAAAAGGTCTAAACAAATATTTTGGGATGCTGACATCTAAAACGATTACCTTACCAGTTACCACCCTCGTTTCCTCCTTAGGACAATTTAAAAGCACACTTTTTCGGCCTTCATATAGGAAGCTGCAGCGGGCTTACATCGGGCAATTTTTACCTTTTTTAATGCCCGCCACTCATTTATCAGCGCAATATTCATACCTTTTAATCTTTCACACGGATATCATATTTCCCTCGCACACACCCTGGCCAGCTTCTTGTGTAACATAACGAAGTGTTTATGTTTGACAGGGTGCCAATGAGGACGCGGGACGAATCGGTCTGGTGATCGTGGCCACCGGTCTGGTCGGCTCCATCCTGTGCGGCATCTGGCTCGACAAGACACACCGGTTCAAGTACGTCAGCACGGAGGGCAAAAGCTAACTTACAACCTCCATCCCGAGTCGCAAGCCCTTCATCATCCCTCTTGTTTTGATAAAACTAAGAATTATAGATGCGTGCGAAACACAACAATCGAAGTTATTTCCTTCAATTCTAACACAAGTGAAACATGAAATCGCAATTTCAATGTATGAAGCTAAGAATTATAGATGCGTGCAAAACATGACAACCGATGTTATTTACTTCAATTCTAAAACAAGTGAATCAAGAAATTCTCATTTCAATGGACGGTCGTTGACGCTCAGAGCCCAGAGGCCGGTGCATAATGTGCTGCGAGGGTTAATGGAACTGAGTGCCTGGAGCTCGGTCAGGGTCTCTCGGGAAACCGACGACGACTCGCAGGCCTGGCAATACTGGCATCCAGGTCAGGCGGCGCCGCCTAGCTGTCGAACCACGAAACTGAAGTACGGAATAGCTGTGCTGAAACAAAACACGCCCTCTGGCCTGGCATCACTTCAGTTTCTCTAGATATTATAAGCAGATATATTTCGTAAACGATAAGGAAAGCTATTCTTACATGTCCGTTATCCTCACCACGAGAAGGTCGTTTCATTCTACAACCTAAATGTTTCGTATGGAAAAATTAAAAATACGTTTCCTGGACATGAACTGTCAATGAAAAGCTTCTTCCGTTTTCCCCAGGATCACCACCGTGCTTGTCTACATCCTGAGCGTGGCCGGCATGCTGGCCTTCACCTTTACCCTCCCTCTGGGTCACATCAGCGTGGTCTACATCACATCTGGCCTCCTGGGCTTCTTCATGACCGGCTACCTGCCGCTGGGCTTCGAGTTCGCGGCGGAAATCACCTACCCGGAACCGGAAGCCACCACTTCCGGTCTGCTGAACGCCTCTGCGCAGGTGTTCGGCATTGTGCTGACAATCACCGGCGGCTCACTGATGTCAGCGTGAGTGACCGGGTGTTTGGGATGGAGGTGCTGGAAGGCGGGTGGGTATCCAATGGTCAAAGCTGAATAAGATTGATAAGCAACGCGTTTCTTTAGAAAAAAGAACTTTTCGTGTAATGTAAGTCCAGCGAACTCACATCTACACGCATGATATGCAATGGGATGTGTGTAATTTCATTTTGATGAAAATGGTATATCAATGGCACAAGTATCTTATAGCGAGACATAAATGTTACCCAAAACCTATGCAGCTATAAAAAATACCTATCCCTTTTTATAGACCGGACCATAGATGACATAATTCATGCTATCTAATGACCGGACTGCAATCTTAGTGGTTTGTGAATTCACGAGACACCTTGTCTGTCCTTTTGGTTACATAACGCGCTTTTCCTTCTCCCTCAGATACGACGAGCAGGCGTGTAACCTGCTGTATGCCGCCACACTGGTGTTGGGGGTCATACTGACTGCGATCATCAAAGAAGATCTCCGACGGCAGAGAGCTCACGAGACCCACAGTGACGGCGTCAAACTCGAGAGTACTCGGATGCGAGAGACTGAGAGGAATTGACGGATTGAGGGACTGAGGGAGAATCTGTTGGGAGGGATTCTGAGGGTCGAGATGGGAAGATAACAGCGACGGTGTCAAACTGGAGAGTACTCGGATGTGAGGGGCAAGGCTGAAACGGGAAGAAGTGTCCGTTCAGTGGTGGCTACAAAACGCACAGTGACGGTGTCAAACTAGACAATACTTAGATGCGAGGGCCCCAGAGTCGACACTGAAGGAGAGGTCCCACGAGGCGCCCAACTATTGTATGTATAAAGAAAGAGTGTGCATACTTGGATGTGACCGGTAGGTACTAAGCCTGAGGGTCGACACGAGAAGAGTGTGCCCACGTGACAACATTTGTGTCAAACTTCAGAGTACTCAAATGTGAGGTTCGACACTTGACAGTGACACGCTCTTGTGTGTTGAAGAGGATGTGAAGGGTGCATGCTGATGGGAGCCCCGAGATCTGGTGGACAACACGTGCTGGCGCTCAAGTTTGGCAGATGGAACTGCTGTTGGTAAACGCGTATTCTGACTTCTGACAAATATGCTGATGCTGAATGAAGGAATGTGTTTGTATGCTTGTATAAATGTACATATTAGAGGTTGTCCGACCCGAGTTTGGTGAGCAATAACACTTGTGGCCTTTATTTGATTTAACGGCTCAACAAACAAAGTGAGTGGAGACTGGAGAGTATAGACCTCCTGTGTTTGCTGCGTATGCGTAAAAATTAGCAAGCAAGTGAGCAAATAATTAAACAAGGTTGTGTCATACCAGAAGTTGTAAAATAAAAGTAGCCAGTGCCATCGTCTCCTCTGAACACTGAATGAAAGCAGCACAAGAGACAGGTAAGTACATACGGTCTAGAACTCATGCCGTTGACGATTGATACATGTTGCTTTACCCGAGTGGTATCGTGGAGCAGAGCTAGTTGCCGTCATGCGTACCAAAGTCCGGCATTAGCAAGGTTTGCGTACAATTTCGTTAAAGGTAGTGTGCCACCTTTGAAAGATTTCCCATTTTATTTTTCCTAGGATAAGAAGCTTCTGTTTTTACCTAATATCGCAAAAAAATCAAAAATGGGCCTGGAATAGTGCCTTTTTCGCCTAAAAGTTTTTCGGTTTTTAGATATGTATAACAACTGTAGTGGGCTCACCTGCAAACAGGCGTCGGGCAACAATCGCGAATGCGGCGCACTTGTGACAATAAGCAAAGGTCATTATAGTGTTACGACCATACGACGTACGGGAATGAGTTATCAGCTGTCTAATCGTAGACAACACAATGTCGAGCCTTAAACTGTAAGCCCGTATTGTATTGTTTCTTTTATTTGGCTGTCGAACATTATTTATGGTTTGAAATATGATTTTATGTAAAATAATTGATATGAAAAAGCCGTCTTTTAAGTTATGACCCCATTTCACCACACGCAAGTGGCAGAAATGACAATGATCAGCTGACGCATTTTTCTTGGCCGAAGTCAGAGCGCGCGGCCCGACGCACCACGCGTATTTGGAAATTCCGACCTCGACGAGCATCAGAAGCCACCTAACAGGCGTGTTCGAAACCGCAGGAGATGATGATGAACGGGTTTATCGAAACTTGATTGGATGAGCATATCGGTAATAGCGATTTCAGTGTGTGCATTTATTGTTCATAGTGGTGTGAAATGTGGTTGGGGTACGACCGACAACCCGTCGGGGCGAATTTCGCACTGGGGTACTCAAAATTTGAAGAATTTAAGACGTTTCCATGAGTTTTGAAGGTATGGATAAGTTCTAAAAATCCGGTTCTCCTTATCTGGGCCATTAACTCCATACGGTCCAAGAAAGCTGGCACACTACCTTTAAGTTGAATTGATACCATAATAAGGTAATTGCAAGTTGCAACGGCACATACAAAAATCAAACGCTAAGCTTCAATTAATTTTGTTCTGCAGTGAGCGAAAGCAAAGTGGTCGCAAGGTGATACTTTTCTCATCTGTACCCACAGTCCACTGCATGCTAATGAAATGCAACAACAGTTCCCTACAATTAATAGTTCCGAATAATTCATACCAAGATTCCAAGACCGCGCGCGTCCAGTCCGCTGGAGCCGGCGAATGCGATGTTAGACTAGCCCGCAATACCTGCGTGCGCCGCGGCGCAGCATTTCCCGTTTCACTGTCGATGTCATGGGGAACTCTGACAAAGCGCCCACAACACATCCCCGCTCCCCAAAGATCATGGGACTGGAGCACTGGCGGAGCCACAATGGCGGATCCAATGGCATTAGTTGCACAAGCATCTCTTGCAGAAGCCGAAATATGTCTTTTCTTCGTTTTCTTTGCAATTTGCATGGAAAGAAACGTTAACCCGCGCACCGACGGGGGTCTGCGCCAACTTAGTACCGACGGGGGGGGGGGGCGGATGACCGCCCCCCCCTGAGATCTCGAGAACGAAGCAAGATAGCGACAAGCGGTAAACGGCATCGGATACGCACGGACAAGGTCTACAATTTTTACTAAGGTCATTTTCAGGTCAGGTCAAAGATGACGTCACAGGGGTCGAAAAAGTCAAAATGGCGGCGCTAGATATGGAGAGGGTTTTTCTCGAATAACTTTCGAAGTAGTCAAGATAGGAACAAACTAAGGGCATCATCGTGATCCTCTCGTCAATCCGCATCGAATGATATATATGTTGACCTCGAAAGGTCAAGGTCAAAGGTTGACCTCAGGTCACGTGACCTCGAGGTCATCATGTATATCATTCGATGCGTCTTGACGAGCTGAACACAATGAAACCATCCGCGCGGCTGTATCTTGTTCCTGTAAGGAGTTATTGGCAAAAAACCTTTGGTGACCTTTGATGACGTCACATGACCTTACAGCTGCCCAACAGCAAAACAGACCTCAAGGTAGTGAAGGTTGATCGTATGTGAAGTCATGTATGGTATATGGGGCCATTCCGACCCGTTTTAGTGGTAAAAACAGGGGGTTGATTTTTCCCCCATTGACTTATAATGGGGAGGTCGCGAAATTGACCTGACCTTAGGTCACCGACATCAAAATTCCGAGATATACAAATTGTAGCTACTAATGACCTAATAACATCCTGCGACTTTCAAAGGCCTCCGACATCTACTGTAGCTCTGGCACGGTGACAAAGTTGCAAAAAAGTGACTTGAGGTTGGGTCATTCAAAGTGACCTGGTGACCTGACCTTAAAAGTTAGGAAGTTCAAACTTGCACACCATGTGTAAAATTGATGAGAGAATAGTCATACCAAATTTCGCGGCGCTACGCGCCGCGGTTTTCCCGCTATCCGCGAAAAACCTCAGGGGGGGCGGATATCCGCCCCCCCCCGTCGGTGCGCGGGTTAAAACTTGTATTTGGATAAGGGTATTGCAGCTCTTTGGATCTGAAAGTGATTTAAAGTTTGCTATCTTTTGTGACTAATGCGTGCTATGCATGCCATAAACTACATCTTTTTAGGCGCAATTTCAAAAAAAATTAATGCCAAATTCAAAACGTTCACGCGCATTTCGAACGAACACTTTTTGAATTTGGCCTTTAACTTTTTGAAATTGCGCCTAAAAAGGTAAAGAAGGCCAATCGCCAATAAACCAACCAAGATGAACTGACTGGTTAGTTATTGCTTAGCTGCAACTTACTGTGCTTTTCGACAATTGGGTTTTACTCGCGCTATTGGGTTGCCTATATGCACGACTCTTTTACCTATCTCAGAAAAAAAATCTAGAATAAAAGTGAATAGTTTTATTCATAAGTATCATTTGGGTAAAAGCTACCGATAAAAATAAAGATTGCACGGTGTCTGAATTATGTAACATTAAAAGGTTAATAAAAGCCAACTATCAACTGTGCAATATTGGGCTCAATCAATATGCATGCATCAATATTCCTATAGCGATCCACGCATATGCCCAATCGCCGCTGCCCGTCGCCCCCGACGCCCGAAGGCGCGCAGCCGACGATACCGACGCTGGGGCGACGAGAGCACAGGTGGCGCTGTGGTAGCACGATCGATGGCTGACGTCACCGTCCGCCGGCGGGGCCTGCGCCAGAGGCGGTATTTATATAGTTGGTGTGGCGCGGGACGGGCTGCCAGAGCCGCCGAGGGGCACGTGAACACCCGGGTGTCGACGAACAGGTGAGGTGGCCGTGAAACATGTGCTTGGGTGGCCTGACCTGACCTGACCTGAGGCCCACTCGACCTGACCTGACCTGACCTGGCCAAGCCGGGAGTGGCATGAAATTTGATGTGATTGTTGTTTCCGGCTTTGATTGGACGTTTTTCATATGAGCTATATTCGTAGTGACGTACTATAAGTATAGCAGCGACAAGTGTTTGTCGCATTGTTCGTCATTTGTTCATAAACGCCTGCCATGGGATATGAAAAGGAAATGGAATCAAGGAGCTAGGTTTAGGGAGGAGGAATGAAAACTATTTTCGGTAATGACGATAACAATCGACATTCCTCGTTTTCTTATCACGTTACGCTGCACGTGAATGTGAAGAGGCGGTGTGGTCGCCGACAGCCATTCACACGAGGACGTCTCCGGTGCCTGACCCACGCGGGGTCCAACGTCCAAGTGTCCGGCCAGGAGACACCCGTGGCGTTACGGGAGCATCCAGTCGAGTAGGAATGGTCGGTATCGCTGAATTGTGCGACGGAACGCTTAAAGATCTCGGTCAGGATGGTTCCGATGTGAATGACAATCCACATATGCAACAGGCTGCATCGCGCGCGCTTCAGATAAGAGGCATAGAAATCTCACGTTCTCAAATTATAACGTTACATTTTTGGCTGTAGCTTACAAAATTTGACCAAATAGCCTTCAGGGCTCCAGTCATCTACCGTCCGTGGTCGCTAAATACCTCCCTAGTAATGGGTGTCACGCCCTCATACCGGCCCCTGTGCCCGGCTGGACGGCGTGTGACCGGCCGGGACGCTCATGTTCCATGCTAAGGTCGGTTAACGCGGTGACGACCGCTGCTGAGTAAACACCGAGGAGGCAGCCAGCGACACCGAGCCAGAGGATCGGGCTGACTCAGTCCGCGTGCAACAGGGGGCTTCTCAGTGACAGCTGGGACACTGGGCGACGGTCAACGACAGGAGATGTCAAAGCATAGCCCCGCTGCCCAGTCTTACCGTTCCAATGCAACATGTGTGCTGCCGCGCGGTGCCTGTATCAGTTGGTAATGTAATACATTACGGAAGCATTATTTAGTTTCAGATTTCTTGCAAGATAATCAGCTCATATTGCTGGTTAGATTACCATAACTCCCGTTCATTTAGCAACTACAACTCAATAAGCGTTAACTGCAAGAAGCGACGCATCGCTCAAACCATAGACCTCTGTATACAGAGGTATATATGCAGCCTGTGTTTACTTGTATGCTGTGTGAACTGTGAACACAATGCTCATTATTTATCACCTCGTGCAAGCCATCAACAGTGCAATCATCTCATCTACATGACGTGAGAAGCTGATCCTTGTGGCGTGTGAGATCGCATCTTCGGGTTTTAGGACGATATCGACCATTTGTATTTTTCTTCAGCTGCCTTTTCATGGCGGAAAGATTAATTGCTGAAATGGCCGATCTTTCACAGATTAGGACCAAACGAAAGCTTCGTTTGAGAGTCACACGCGACTTCAACCTATAACGTCCTGAAAGTCCATCGAAACTCACACCTTTTGACCAATTTCTTACGCAACCAATTATTTCAACCCAAAGTCCCATACTCTTACTAAAATCCGTTCAAAAGTAAATGCCTTCCTACCCTATCTTTTCAAAATGCGAT